TGTATATTTTCCACCAACCCCAACAATCTCCACATTGATTAAAACTAATACATAAGATTTAATTGTTTACACTGATAATCATACTCCACCATAAAGAGTATCAACATGTATATTTTCTTTAAATAACAATCTTCGCCTTGATTGAAAATACTACATAAACTTTCATTATCTTCATTGACAATCATACACCACCATAAAGAGTATGGTCACTTGAAGTTACACTATTCCAAGAACTTTCACACTGGCTTCACCAACAATCATAGTTTTAAAAGCTATCATACTCTCTCATGAAAAATATATTTCGCTTGAAGATAAACCACTTCAAGAATTTCACATTGTCATCACGAACAATCATATGCTTTATCATGAAGAATAAATTTCACTTGAAGCTAAACCACTCCAAGAATTTCACACAGTCTTCACCGACAATCATAGTTTTAAAAACCTATCATACTTCCTCTAAAGAAGAGTATACTTCACTTGAAGGTAAACCACTTCAAAAATTTTCATATTTTGAAAATCAGATTAAAACATTATGGTGCAATTTCCTTGTTGGCAGGAAGCTCCTCAACCACCGACATAATCTCGCACCTTGTGTAATCTTGATTGTATCAACACATCTTTAACTTGAACTTTTCACAAGTCAAAAAATTCTTCCATCAATTTTCTCTATCCTAAACTGCACAACAGAATTTGTGACTGCAACTCAACAACTCTTTCACAACAGTACCCTTCTTTTCTGATGTGGAAGATCAGACAAAACTGCAACCACATAGTAAATTAAGAACATTTATCCATGGATCAAACCAAAACCTATGATACTAGTTGTTGAAAAAACAAACAAACAAAGCATAGAGGAAAAGAAGGAAGACAATCACAAAACAAGAACATAACATGGAAACTTCGAAACTAGAGGGAAAAACCACAATTGTTATCAATTGGCAACCAGAGAATAACACTATGCAAAAATTGTTATAACACATAATATAACCTCAACTAACCCAAACCCTAGTACACTCACACCTTCCAAAACAAATATTTAACTACATCTCACAACACTCTAATACAACAGTATAAGAGAACAAAGAAAGTCAAATACAAGTTTAAAGTGCTTTTAACTGGTGCATATTAGAATGAAGAACTTGAATCCTATATATATAATCTTGAACTTCATATTTCTTCACAAAACTAAGTGATGTGGGACTTCAAAAAATGTGTATCCTATATATAGTCTTGAACTCTCTCTTCATTCACAAAATTAAGCAATATGAGTCTTCTTCGACATGTATATTTTCAACCAACCCCAACAGTTTGGACATGTAGAAAGAAAATATGTATATTTTGTGATAAGGAAAGTGGATCGTATAGAGAGGACTCAAACATCTAGAAATAGAAGAAAACTTAGAAAAACTATAAGAGGAGTTATTAAGAAAGATCTCGAAATTAATAATTTGGAAACAATTTATAAAATATTATGACGGAAGTTGATATATGTAATCGATCCCACTTAGTGGGATAATGCTTGGTTGTTGTTGTATTCACCTTATAACCAACACATACACAAATAAACAAAGACTTTAGAGCAATTGAATAAGATGATAATAAGTCTCTTTCAACTTTATCAGATCTGTCTTTGGTTCAAACTCAACCATTGATACATAACAGTGTTAAATTATCTTAAAGAATTTTATTGTCTATTATTATTCTCCCTAACTCGATAAATTAATATATGCAATTGCGCATAAAAAAAATATCCGATTTAAAAAAAAAAAAACAAAAAAAAAACAGAGGCAAGAGAGTTCGAATGCACATGAATCCTAGTATCCCATTCTAGTAGTGTTCACCAAAGCACTACAAGATGGGCGACTATCAATTATAGAGATATAATTTGGTCTTGCAATGAAGCAAAATTTGTCATTCCTTGACTATGTATGTTCTAATAATTGAAGTGTTTAGTTTCACGTTTGAAAAAGAAGGCAAATATTAATATTAATATTAGAAGGCTAAAGTTAACTTTATTATATTTAAACGAAATAATTTAATATTGATCGTCTTTGAATTTTTACTAAACATCATTCTAACACCACTGTAGTTTTGAATGATCAGCCATAAGGTCATAAACTAATGGTTGGTTACATATTGCAATACAAGTTAGCGTTGACATCTTAAAATAAAAACTTTCAAAAAGGTATAATTACATATGAATGTTTCTGCTTCAAGATATATTTATATATCCGGTCTATTGAACTAACTAATCTGATTCAAATCAAATAATTTCAACCTCTTTTTATTCGTAATTTTTGGAAATCGAACCATGATCTTTTATATCAAATTTAATATCAATTACCATTAAATAAACTACAGTTATAAGAAGACTGTTTTCAAAATAATAATTAATATAGAACCATAAAAGTCCTAATAAAACATGATTATCATAAACTAAACTAATATAATCTTAATCTATTAACTTAAAGGTGGGTAAAAGAAAAGAAAAACTTATCATCTTTGACTTACAAGTATATAAAATAATGTATTAAAAGATATTACTAGTATTCTTGTAAGTCTAGTCATTCATACAGCAGAAAGAAATAAAATAGAAGACATCATCGAATAGACCAAAGTTTTGCAATTTGTATGAATTTTAAAGATCTTTTGTTTTTTCTCTTGATACTAGAAAACAAAGACCAAACCTTTTTTTTGTCAAGTTATAGACCAAATAAACATGGCATTGATTCATTTGGTCAAACCTTATATAAGGTTTACTTTGTATCATTTTTCTTTGAAGAAAGCTCTCATGTGTATTTAGAATCTTGAAATATGATTATCACAAATCAAGTAACTAGTTCCTCCGCACAACAAATTTGGCAATAAAAACACAAAATAATTCATTTGAAGAACAACCAAAAAAATCATAGGCCTAGTTAAGAAGAAAACAAAGAAAGAATGTATTTTTAACTTGTGGAATAATTCGATGTTATAATTTTAGATGAGTTTAATTGATATTTATTGTGTAAAATTAAATAATTTTACACTGTCATTCAATAGAAATTCATTAATCTCTTATATTATATTATTAATCTAAAATTTAAAGTGTGATCTGACGGAATACACGAAATAATTGATTGACGGTGCATATTTCATTTCCTCATTTTAAATAGACTTTGAGTTAAATCGCTTATAAAAATTGGAATTGAACTCAATTTGATATTTGTTAACACCTAGTAAATTCGACAAAAACTTACATGGAAACGTATCTAAATCTTTATTCTTAGAAACAACCAATAAAATGAGAGAAAATTTTAAATTTATTTAAAATTTAATTTTTTTTAATTGAAATCACAGTTGTTGTGATAGTGGAGAGAGAGAATATTTTTTTTTAATTAATAAAAAAATTGTGATTGATTGTTTGTAAAGTCAGGTATCATGTTTGTTCTTATCTAAGTTTTTTTCCGATAAATCCTCTAAAATCGAATAGAATTGGAAGAATTTTGTCTCGACTTTATTCAAAGTTATCCTATTTTGCATAATTTAGAAGAAATTAATTTTGTTTTATTTAATAGTTTAAACTTAAAACCAAATTTTAAAATTATGGAAATTCTTTTTTTGTGTGTGGTGTTTTTATGCTTTGGAAAGGTAATTATGCCCTCGTTTCAAAATAAATGTTACTTGATCCAAAATATGTGGGATATTTAGTTTTCAATACAATTTTAGTTTTAATTTTTTAATTCTAACTTTACTTTCTAATTAATATTATTTATTTTTTATTATTTTTTATTTTGTATTAATGATAATTAAAATAAACCAATACCAATAATTAATAAAAATTATTTAGTAAAATTACTTTTTTCTCTTTAATTTATTACATTTTTTAATTTAGATAAAATTATAAAATATCACATTTATTTTAATTTAATATATTTTTATCTTATAAAATTGTAATATTAATACTTCTATAATACTATATTAGTAAATAAATTATGCATGATAATTTTAATATTATTTTAATGAGGTAAACTCGTATGAGTTAAACTCATTTCAAATCAATTCAACGTAGCTAAAAATGAATTCACGTTAGAACTTGAGTTTTGAGTTTGACGATTTTAAAAGAGGAGTTACTATTTTGTGATTTAATTTTCTTTTAAAGCTAAAATCTTTCAATTAGAGAAATGAAGATTTTGGTAAGTTTTTAAAATTATTTTATTTGTGATTAAATATTATTTTTCGTCATTTATCTTTTTGTTTGAGATGTATTTTAGTCTCTTAATTAAGAAAAAAAAATACCATTTTAATCTCTTAAATTTTTAAATAGAAACAAGTTAGTCGTTTCCATCCAAACAACACTAGCAACATCAATTTTCGGTGGTGGTGTGAGGATTGACGTGTAACATTAAACTTTTATAACCAATTTGGTGACAAAAAACTCTCACTAAAAGAGATTTCTTTTTTCTTTAATATCATCTTCATCTTCTTGGTTATTTAGGGAATTTCTCAATTAGCACAGAAATTCCTAATTTATTTTATTGACAAAAATCCTGAATTTTCATTTTGTTTTGTAACAGAATGTTGTAATAAAATTCAAGCAATAAACTATTTTATCAATACTCTATGGTCATTTTATGTAAAATTCGATTTCAAAACTGTCAAAGCTTGCATTCTTATTTTAGATTTGGGTTTAGTTTGCATTCTTATTTAAAGGCATTAGCTTGCGGTTTTAAACCTCCACTGGTTTACGAAGTTGAAGACTTGGATTGATAATGGGTTTGCACTTACCGATTGTCAGCAGAAATTTCAATATATGAATGTTAGGTGAAAAGAAAGATGAAACGTGAATTTGAGAAATTCTTACCTAAATATGATCTTACTAATGTTTAATCACCACAGCAATGTTGGTATCAAATTTAATTACCTCAGGCAATGTAGGCATCAAATTTAATTAAGCTGGAAAGAGACTCACTTAATATAACACAATGCTTGACAACTGAGAGCACTACAAACTTCCATCAAGTAATCTTCCTGGCGCCAACCATCAATTTATAGAGCGCAAATCCACCTCGATGACAGCCAGGCATTCTAGAGGCCATATTTTCTAATTCAATCTGAAAAATACAAAATCAATGAGCAGTGGTTTGGCTGCAAAAGGTAGTTGGTTGTAAAAATTTGAACAACAATTATAATAGTAGTTTTTAAGTTTTGAAATATCACGCATATAAGTCCAAGCAGATCCTACCAAGGTCTAGAGAAAAAATATGCCATAGATTTACCATTGGAACAGTGTAGAGCTGAGTTGATTCATAGCCATCTAGTGCACTAGAGTAAAACTGCTGAACTTCCTTTGAGTCTAGATTGCATTTGATAAAGAAAAATGCAGTCGGTCTCACATTCAAATCTCTGCGAGATATTCCAATGAAAGCTGGAATGTTCTGCAGACAAAATATGAAAAGGTATACAGCAATCAATCCACCCCAAAGGAAAGGTATACAGGAAAAATCAAAACATATAATCGCCATGGCTACATAGCAGACACTACTATGTCACTGATAGGAATGGATCGGATCCCACAAATGATGATGGGAATGTGTTAGTTAATAGAGATATTATTGGACCTAAACAATGGAGGGTATATGTGAGAAAGAATAGGAAACTCCACAAATAAATAGGAGTTAGTTTAGGTATTATTCTCCATATAAATAGGAGTTAGTTTAGGGATTATTCTCCATATAAGGAGGAGTGTATGGGGCAGTAGTTAGGCATTAATTGATTTTCTGATTTTGACCTTAGGGTTTGGGCAGTGAGAGAATAGTTTCTCTGACTGAGGAGCAATAGCTCTGGAATTTATTTTACTTTCATATTAATTAATAAAATACTTTTCTTTATTATATACCTCTGTTCTATCAATTGGTCCGACCTACCATTGTTCATGCCCAAAGCTCCTAAGATGGCTGACCGTGTTTCTGCAGTGGAAGACAGGTTGGAAGGTGTTGAGGCTAGCATTGTTGCGTTACGAGAGTTCATTGGTGCTGAGATTCAACGTGCAATGGCTCATCGTGAAGTGCCGCAGCCAAGCAGTGTGACAGTTTCCTCACCGCTGGATGAGTTTCGTTTATCTGCGAAGAAGGTGGAGTTGCCGGCATTTACCGGTGACGATCCGGTTGCATGGATCACTCGGGCAGAGACATACTTTGAGGTACAACGAATTTCGCAGGATGTTCGTATTCAGTTGACCAAATTGAGTATGGAAGGCCCTACTATCCATTGGTTTAACCTATGGCATGATTCAACAGAGGAAGTGTCATGGGAGAACCTCCGTGAGGCGATGATGGTTCGATTTGGAGGTGGGCGTTTGGAGAATCCGTTTGAGGAATTAAAGGAACTAAAACAATCGGGATCCGTAGAGGAATATATTGCTGAATTCGAACTGTATTCTTCACAGTGTGGTCGTTTACCAGAACAACAGTTTCTAGGTTATTTCATTGGTGGTTTACGTCATGATATCCGTTCTCGTGTGCGTACCTTCAAGCCTCGCAACCGTTACCTAGCAATGCAATTGGCTCGTGATGTTGAAAGTGAATTTGCAGTGGCTTCTGGACAGGGTTCTGGAGCACGTTACAAACCGGGTCATGGTTCTTGGACAAAATCTCAAAAGCCTAATTGGGCTTTTCGCGAAGGGGAAGGGAACGGATCTGCAACTCAGACCCAGCCTAATAATTCTTTGGGCCAAACGCGGACTGGTTCGGATTCTGGATCTCAAACCGTCTCAACACGTCCTACCAATTCTACAGCATCTTCTCGCCCAAATTTAGGTGACAATTCACGCCGTCAATCTCGTGGTGTTCGCCATCTACCAAGTGCAGAGGTTAATGAGCGTCGTGCGAAAGGACTCTGTTTTCGTTGCAACGAACGATGGGATCCCCTCCATCAATGTGCAACAAGACAGTTACGATTGATTATCTTGGGGGATGACGAAATTGTTAACGATGCAGGAGAGATTGTGGTGTTGGAGGCTGCGACGGAAGAAGAGCTCACACAAGAGGAATTAGAATGTAAAACCATGGGGCTGGTTGGTGTATCCACTAATCCAAATCAGGTCCGGAGGATGAAATTGGAGGGATGTTTACAAGGTGCCTTAATTCTGGTACTTATTGACAGTGGAGCCACACATAATTTCATATCATCTAAGGTGGTTGAAGCCCTGGGATTGTCTATGGTGCCTTCTAATCCTTTGGGTGTTAAATTAGGAGATGGTCATCGTGTCCTAACTAGGGGTAGATGCAATGGAATTCAGATGAAAGTGGGATCAGTGCAGATTTGCTTTGATGCTTATGTGTTGGAGTTAGGAGGTGCGGATTTGATTTTAGGAGTTGTGTGGCTAGAAACGTTGGGGAAGGTGACCATGGATTGGAAAGAAATGTCTATGGAGTTCAACCATAAAGGCAGTATGGTGAAACTACTTGGTCAGGCTGTAGATGATAAGATGGCTACTTTCCAAAGCATTTCCAAAGCAGGGGTTGCTGTTGATCCTGCCAAGGTCAGCAGTGTGTTACAATGGGAAGGGATGGATGTTGGAGATGCTACCTGGGAAGAGGAACTATTGCTGAAGAGTCAATTCCCTGATCTGCGCCTTGAGGACAAGGCTAATGTTGTAGGTGGGGGTGATGATAGGAATGGATCGGATCCCACAAATGATGATGGGAATGTGTTAGTTAATAGAGATATTATTGGACCTAAACAATGGAGGGTATATGTGAGAAAGAATAGGAAACTCCACAAATAAATAGGAGTTAGTTTAGGTATTATTCTCCATATAAATAGGAGTTAGTTTAGGGATTATTCTCCATATAAGGAGGAGTGTATGGGGCAGTAGTTAGGCATTAATTGATTTTCTGATTTTGACCTTAGGGTTTGGGCAGTGAGAGAATAGTTTCTCTGACTGAGGAGCAATAGCTCTGGAATTTATTTTACTTTCATATTAATTAATAAAATACTTTTCTTTATTATATACCTCTGTTCTATCAGTCACTCTGAAATTCACTCATTAATGGAAACACCTTGTATATAGTTATCGCTAAGTCCTATTAAAGTACAAATGAAACTTACAAGGGATGAAGCTGGCACTCCAATTTCTTCAACTACTTCACGTACTATGCTGTCAAACATCTCCCGTGAAACATTAATGTTGATTAACTCTGGTAACTCCTTTACATTTTGGTGGGACGTTATACCAATTTCTTGAGGCTGTCAATCATATGAAAAAATGTTTCAATGTATATCCATGCATAGACAGGAATATTAAGTCTGAAGATACATAAACACAAAGAACAAATACGTCACTGTTCTGAAAAACAAACCAAAGACTGATTTCAGAACTAAATGCCCATCCCATTATGAATAATTCAACAATTGCAATGCCTTATTAGATAGTAGCAACAAAAGGATTCAGAACATTCATTGCACTATTGAATACCTCAGGATGGCCTCCAGGGAAAACGAAATATCCAGGAAATTCACCAACATTATTACTTCTCTGTAATACAAGTATTTTATTGTCAATTGTCTCCACCACTGCACCATTTCCTAATGGACTGGAGGTATGCTGACAAAGAACGAAATCATCTGAATAAACATAAAGATAAAGCTAAAAGATTAAGATAGATAAATTAATATAATAATTTTGTATGATTAAGATAGATAAATTAAAATAATAATGTTGTATGATTAAGATATATCAATTCAAATGAAAAGAAAGGAAAAAGAGTGAGGCAGAAGAAATATATAAGACTTTTCTATAATTCTATATCAATACTTTTAATTGAAGTGATCTACTTAATCAAATCATCAATATATTGAACCCCTGTACTAGGCAAACATGTTTGCACAGTATATAATGAAAGTCATTCCTACTATGTCCTTGTAGAACGCAATAGTCAAAGTGGCAATACAATAGCCAAAGAGGCAGATAAATGTCGATATATAAATCATATGGCCCAGTGTCATAAGTGCACTCTCTTCCTACAGCTACTAATCATATACTAGCTTCTCTGTTTCTAAGGTCCATCTATGAAATAGTATTTTTAAAATTATAGTTGAGCCAAATTCAACCTTATAAAATTGACTTGTCAAGTGAAAATTGCTCTTATAAACATATGTTGCAGGTCATATATTGTTCATATGAGACTCTTAATCTACTCACTCACGCCCAACACTATTGAGTTTGGTGTGTGGATCAGTGTTGGCAGAATCGCAAGTTGACTCGCAAAAACGGACGAGTTAACGTCCCAAACTCATGCCGGCATACTGACTCGGCGGCGAACTCGGAGACCCAAACTCGGTAAACTCATCTGAGTTTAGAAAGCTGACTCGATCCTGTGTTTAGGCGGTTGCGCTTCCGATTTCAAAGGATTTTTTAGAAAAAAAACCTTAATTATGTGTATTGAGCCGGGTCGGGTCATTAATGAGTATTAAATTCTAAATTATTTTATTTTTACTAATTAGGAATGTGTGAATACAGCATTAAATCATTCTATTTTTTTTAAGAAAAATTTACACATGGTATCATCGAATGAATCAAATATACCATTAGAAATTATTGCAACATAAATTCCCTTTCTCTCATTCAAATATACAGAACTACATCCTCTTTTCTCTTTCACCTTCAAGCTTCTTCTTCTCTTCCTCTTTCACATTCAAGCAAGATTTATGATTAAGAATGTGAACTTATTTTGTTTTATATACTATGATTTTTTAGCATGTGTATGAAATTATACATATAAAAATACATATTTTCAGTACATTATCTTCTTAATGAGACTAGTAAAAATTACTCCCACTTATAAGCATATGTTCAGGTCATATATTGTCCGATATGAGACTTTTAACCGTATGTTATCTTCTTAATGAAGATAACACAACACACTCAAGCAACAACAAATATTCAACATAACTTCTTTCTTCTACCCTGTATAGTGAATCTATGTACTTACATGACAATTACAACAACAACAACTAAACTTTACTCCACTAAGTGGAATCGTCTACATGAATCAACTTTCCCATAATATTCTATCAAAGGCCATGCTTATATCTAAATCATTAATTTCGAGATCTTTCTTAACAATTTTTCTGATAGTCTTTCTAGGTCTTCCCCTTCCTCTAATTGTTTGTCTTCTCTCCATCTGGTCTACCCTCCTTACAACAAAATCTATCGGTCTTCTCTCTACATGCCCAAATCACCTAAGTCTATTTTCCATCATATTCTCCACTATAGGTGCTACCCTAACACTCTAATATTTTCATTTCTAATTTTATTCTCGTGTTGATTCTTAACCGCCCAGGATTTTGTCCCGTACAAAATCGCAGGTCTTAAAGCAGTTCGATAAAACTTTTCCTTCAACTTGAGTGGTACCTTTGCATCACATAAAACATTTGATGCCCTTCTCCATTTCAACCACCCAACTTGAATTTGATGATTTACATCCCCTTCTATTTCTCCATCATTTTATATTTGGGCCAAAGATATTTAAATCGTGTGACTTTAGGGATAACATGGTATCCGACTTTCACCTCTAGGTTAGAAACACTTTTTCTTTTGTTAAACTTACATTTAATATATTCCGTCTTACTTCTGTTTAGGCGAAAACCAAGCGTTTTTAAAACTCGTCTCCAAGTTTCCAACCTCACATTTAAATACTCCTTCAACTCTTCAAGAAGGACTATATCATCTGCAAAAAAGCAAGCATTTCGGTGCTACTTCTTAGATGGGTTTCGTGATTACATCCAAAATTAAGGTAAAAAGGTAAGCATTTAGGGTTGAACCTTGATGCAAACCAATTGTAATGAGAAAATCGTTTGTCTCTCCACCATGTGTCTGCACATTAGTCGATAGCCCTTCATAGATATCTTGGATAGGTCGGATATATGTAATTCTAGCCCCTTTCTTCTCTAGGTTTTCCACAAAATCTCTCAAGATACTTTATCATATGCCTTCTGCAAGTCACTAAAAATTAAGTGCATGTCTTGTTGGTCCATCCGATATTACTCAATCACACGCCATAATAGATAAATCGCTTTCATGGTTAACCTTCTCAGGCATAAAACCAAATTTATTCTCGGTGACTTGAGTCTCTTTTCTTAATGTCCGTTCAATCACTCTATTCCATAACTTCATGCAATGACTCATAAGTTTAATCCCTTGTAATTTGCACAATTTTGTATATCCCCCTTGTTTTTAAAAAATGGAAATAAAGTGTTTCTTCTCCATTCATTTGACATGCGCTTTGACATTATAATTTCATTAAAGAGTTTGGTGAGTCACTCAATACCTCTATCTCCAACAATTTTCCAGACTTAAATGGGAATGTTGTCTGGTCTAACCATCTTACTATTACTTATTCTTTTCAACTTTTCCTTTACCTCCTGTTTCTGAATTCGATGATAGTAATTATAGTTCCGATCCTCTTCTCTAATGTCGAGTCTGCTAAAGTCCGGTGAGATATCATATCCTTCATTAAATAGGTTGTAGAAATATGTCTTTCACCTATCCTTTATAACTTTTTCCTGAACCAAAAATTTGTCTTCTTCATCTTTAACACATTCACTTGATTCAAATCTCTGGTCTTTCTTTCTCTTCCCTCAACAAGCCTATATATATATATATATATATATATATATATATTTCTCTCCTTGATTTCTAGAGATTGGTATAATCTGTCAAAAGTTTGTGTTCTTTCTTTACTCACCACCTTCTTGGTCTCATTATTAACTTTCTTGTACTTTTTCCAAGTATAGATATTTTTACACCTAGAGCACTCTTTAAAAGAGTATTTTTTTACTCTAACTTTACTATGGACACTTTCATTACACCATTATGATTTTTTACCCCTAGGTCCAAAATCTCTTAATTCACTCAAACGTCTCTTTAGCTATTTTTCTAATCCCTTGAGTCATCTTATTCCATATATCATTTGCACTTTCTTGTGGTTGTCCAAACCCTCTCTCCAAGATTTTGTGTTGGAAAATTCCTTATTTTTCACTCTTAAATGTCACCACCGGTGGCACTACCATATGACATCTTTTCGTTGCTCTCCCCTTAATTCTTACATCCATATCCATTATCAAAACTAGATAGTTAAATTCTCAGTAGGAATAACTTTACTGTCCAAACAAATCTTATCGTATTTTTGATGAAAAAGAAATCTATCTAAAAACATGCCACTCCACTTACATGACAATGACAATTAAGGTGGGAAAAAAATGTAACAACTTTCTATCCTTTTCACTTTCTTCCAATCTTCCGATGATGACCAAATAAAAAATCAAATTACAACAAGACAAAAAGATGATAGGCAGAACCTAATCAGTTCTCATTTAGATGAATAATGTAGTTTCTACAACAATATGATAAGCAAGCGTGGAAGCCATGTGAATTTGGATCAAGATGAAAAACCGGGAGGTTACATAGATGATATTCGGTTATCACAGTAATGACTATCGATTTGGACAGCCTTACAGTTAAAAGATGCTATAGCTGACTAACACTACGGTCACCAATCAATATTCAGTTGGCTAATGATTTCAAGATCCAGCGATACCTCCTCTACTTTAGGGGCAGAGAGAAGGAAGAGAGATACCATACTGCTGCTTCCAGAATTTTATCAAATCAACCCTCAGCCACTTGTTCCTTTCATGATAAAATTACTATTGGAAATCATATCATACAACTCTCTAGTTTAGAAGCAAGTTGCCACACTACCCTAAGAAGTTCAGGTGCTAATAGCATGAGATCATGATAAGAAGGTTTCTAGCAATATATTTTCTAAGATTTAGGGTTACTAATTTGAGAGTGAATGGAGAAGATAAAAAAAGTAAAATAACAATTTTCTTATTTCCTATCCTTTGTTGTGGCCAAAGTGGTCTTTTAAATACAAAGGAGACTGAATGTTCTAATGAGTCCAATGGGCCTAGCCCATGAATAGAGACAACATTTAAATTAAACATGTAACTAACATAATTAATTATAGAAATCTTTCATCCACTTGGGCTGGTTCCTGTTTCTAATGGGCCTCCTATCACTACATTCCGGCCCACTTTCAACCTTGTCCTCAAGGTTGGTATTGAGAGGCTTAGTAAATGGTGAGTTGGAAAGAGATGTCTTGTTACGAAGCCCAATAGTGTGGCCCAACGGATTGGGATGAATTGGAAACGAGGGAGTGGAATCCAGCTGGGAAGCACTAGGGAAAGTTGAAGCGGTGAGAGGGACAAGTGGCTGAACGCATGCAGAGATAAGTGGGTTAGGAGGTGCACGTGGCTCGATGCATGCTTTGTTCGGTGGAAAGCTGTCTTGGGAAGGCTTTGCATTGATGACTTTGGAAACAGTTTCATTCACAAGTGCTTTCTGATAGCTTCTCTCCTCATTTGCTCTCTCATTCTGAAAATTGTTCAACGCCTCACTTTGTCTTTCAGACTTAACAATTTCTTCATCCATGCGTTCACCTTTCTTTCTAACATATGCTACCCTTGTCTCAGAATCATGGTGTGAAGGGGTTTCTGATTCGGTGGAACGTTGGTTGTCAACAGGAGGTGTTTCAGACGATGATGCATGTGGCAGATCTTGGTCCCTGGAGGTGTCGTCGTCAACAGGAAGTGGATGGAGCTGTAAGTTGGGATTTCTGCCATGGAACGGACGAAGTTGGGATACATGGAAGACGGGGTGGATGCGAGATGTGTCCGGAAGGTCCAAGTGGTAGGCAACACTTCCGATACGGTGAAGAACCTTGAAGGGTCCGAAGAATCGTGGAGAAAGTTTAATAGAGGCGCGTTGCCGCACAGAGTTCTGTCGGTATGGTTGAAGGCGAAGTAGAACCCACTCTCCTTCTGTAAAGGTAACGTTTTGACGTTTCTTGTTGCTTTGAGTTTGCATGTCCGATCTACTCTTCTGTAGATTTCGTTTCAAAATAGTAATGATTTCTTCTCTGTTTTGCAAGGAGGAGTCCACCGAGACCATTGAAGAGGATCCTGGGTCGTAGTGGGGAAAAGGAGGTGGAGGCCGACCATAGAGAGCTTCGAATGGAGACATCTTGATGGAGCTGTGAAACGCCGTGTTGTGCCATAGTTCTGCTAAATGTAAGTAATGAAACCATTTCTTTGGTTGTTCACTAGCAAAACAACATAGATAGGTTTCCAAACATCTGTTGACTACCTCTGTTTGTCCGTCCGTTTCAGGGTGGTATGCGGTGCTGTATTTCAATGTGGTGCCTTGCGCCTTGAACAGTTCCTTCCAAAAGTTGCTAAGAAAAAGGGGGTCGCGATCCGAAATGATAGTGCGTGGTATTCCATGAAGACGGCAAATCTCAACTGAGAATCTGAGAGCTAAGTCTTTTGCAGTGAACTTTGTAGGGAGTCCAATAAAATGACAAAACTTGCTCAGACGGTCGCAAATCACCCAGATTACAGTATGGCCAAAGGAAACTGGCAAGTGAGTAATGAAGTCCATCGTTAAGTCTTCCCAGACCTGGTGCGGAATTGGTAAGGGTTGCAGTAGTCCTTGTTTCTTCTGAGTGCTATATTTATTCTTTTGACAGATTGCACAGGTTTTGACAAATTCTTTTGTGTCCTTGTAGATACCTGGCCAAAGAAAAGCACTAGAGACCCTAGCAAGGGTAGGTTGAAGTCCAGAATGGCCGGCGATGGGTGTTGAATGATATTCCTTCAAGATTTTGTGTCTCAAATCTTCAACAGCAGGTATAAAGATCTTATCTTTATAATACAACAAGTCGTCCTTGAAGTGAAAGAGAACCTGATTATCATTTGCGGCTAAGAGATGTGTGACAAGTTTTTGTCCTTCAGGTTGTTTTGTATAATATTGTCTGAGGTAGCCGATCAGTTGAAGGACGGGGGAAGAGATTGAGAAGAACATGGCGGCTTCATCGGAGTAAATGCGGCTTAAGGCATCGGCGACCTGGTTAGATTTGCCAGGTTTGTAAAAAATGTCAAAATCAAAGCCTTGTAATTTTGCTGCCCACTTTTGTTGTTCAGGTGTCTGAATAGTCTGAACTAACAAATTCTTCAAACTTTTTTGATCAGTGTAAATATGGAAGTGTCTACCAATCAAGTATTGGCGCCATTTCTTCACAGCTTCCGTGATGGCATACATTTCGCGGACATAGACGGAGGAAGCCTGAAGCCGATTGCACATCTTCTTACTGAAAAAGGCCAAAGGGTGACCCTGCTGAGAAAGAACAGCACCAACAGCAACTGCTGAAGCATCAGTCTCCAAGATGAAGAGTTGAGAAAAATTTGGAAGACTTAGGATAGGAGTTGTAGTCAAGTGTTGTTTTAATTTTGTAAACGCGGAATCCGCGGCTGTACTCCATTGTAACTTAGTGGAACGTAACAAATCGGTGAGCGGAGCGGCGAGAGTGGCGTAATGACGAACAAATCGTCGATAAAAGCCGGTGAGGCCCAAGAATCCTCTGAGAGCCGTGAGTGAACGTGGCGTTGGCCAATCAAGAATAGCTTGGATTTTAGTTGGATCAGGGGTGACACCATCCCGTGAGATAATATGGCCTAAATAATCAACATTAGGAACAGAGAAAATACACTTGGAGAACTTCGCGTAAAATTGGTTAGCCAACAATAATTCTAAGATGAGTTTTAAATGCATAGCATGATCAGAAACACTGGAACTATAAATTAAAATATCATCAAAGAACACTAAAACAAACCGGCGTAAATATGGGCGAAGCAAATCATTCATAGCCGACTGAAATGAACTTGGCGCGTTTGTCAAGCCAAAAGGCATGACGAGAAACTCATAGTGACCATCAAACGTTCGGAAAGCAGTTTTGTGAGTGTCATTTGGGTTAACCCGTATCTGATGGTAACCCGAGCGTAAATCGATCTTAGAAAATATAGTGGCAGAACCCAACTCATCAAAGAGTTCATCAATTGTGGGTATTGGAAACCGGTCTTTAATAGTTACTGCATTCAAAGCGCGATAGTCGACGCAAAAGCGCCATGAGCCGTCTTTCTTGCGAACTAGGAGAACGGGTGAGGAGTAAGGGCTGTTGCTAGGTTTAATGATACCTTCGTGTAGCATGTCTTGTATGATTGAAGTCATGATATCTTTTTGAGAGTGAGGATATCGGTATGGTTTCACATTGACAGGAGGGGTGTTGGGAAGAATTGGGAAGTGGTGGTCATGAGGCCTTGGGGGAGGAAGGCCGTGCGGCTGGTTGAAAATCGCTGCAAATGAGTGAATTATAGTGGAGATTTGTTGGGGAAGTGATGTTGGTAAAGAACTAAGTGGAGAGGCAGGTGTGAGGGAATTGGACTCCGGTAGTGGTTGATAAAGAAGTAGATGGATAGAAGCAACAGAATTTGTTTGGAGAAGATGTCTGATATGGTTGTAAGAAGAGTGTAAGGGAGAGGATTTAGGGTCCCCTGTGATGGTGATTTCAGTTGTCTGGTATGTAAAAGAGATTTTTGGGATAGAAAAATCTGCTTGGAGTGGCCCAAGTGTACGCAACCATTCCATGCCCAAAACGACGTCTGCGCCTTCAATGGGTATTAAGTGGAAGGGGATAGTGAAAAGGTGGTTTTGTAGGGTGATAGGGACGTGTGGGCATAGTCCTGAGCATGATAGTTTAGAGCCATTTCCAACCATGACAGAGAAGTTGGGGATGGGGTTGATGGTTAAGCGTAGATGGTGGGCAATACGCGGCTGGAGAATGTTGTGGGTGCTGCCTGTGTCAATTAAAACCGACACTGGAAGGCCATGAATGTGTCCTTTAAATTTCAGAGTCTTTGGGAAAAACTGGCCATTTGCTGCTTGTGGGGATAGTTGAAAATATGTGTCGTCAATGTCTGGGGTTGGTGGAATGGGCTCAGGAATTGTGTTGGGCTCCTCGTCCGAGACAACCTCGTCGTCTACCATTAGGAGCAAAAATTTTCCCATGGAGCATTTATGGCCTGGGATGAATTTTTCATCGCAATTAAAACACAAACCTTGTGCTCTGCGCTCTTGAAGTTGGGCGTTGGACAAACGTCTAATGGGTAGTTTGGTTGGCTGGGGTATTGTTGGGGATTGAAGTGGAGGTGTATTGTTGACTGGAATTGCTGGGGCAGTAGTAGGTTTTGGTAATGGAGGTGGAAAGGGTTTGTGGTATTTAGGTTTGGAATCTTTAATTTTTGATTCAATTAACTTCGCGAGGCCAATCGCCTGTGAGATAGAAACTGGTTTGAGGATAGCAATCTCGTTCTGAATCTCAGACCGTAACCCTGAAATGAAACAATTCAGGATAGCGTCCTGAGGTAAGCCAATCACCTGCGTACCTAATTTTTCAAACACAGCTTGGTATTCCACAATTGTCCCAGTCTGTGTTAACTTAAATAGTTCTGCTTGATGGTTAATATAGGTGGATGGTCCAAAACGCAATTCCAAAGCTCTGGTAAAAGCATTCCAATCAGTTAATAGATGACTTTGGTACATCCACTTGAACCAACATAAGGCTTCGCCTTTCATGTAAAAAGAGATCATAGCAAGTCTATGTTCAGGTGGGAGTTGATAAAAATAAAAAAATTGGTCGGCTTGGAATAACCATTCCAAAGGGTTTGAGCCATCAAACATGGATAATTCCAGTTTTGGGGTTCTGAACGGGGGTAGTGGTGTGGTTGAGTGGAGCGGAGAATAGTTTAGATTGTGAAAGACAGGAGCTGTATAGGTTGGTTGGAAAGGTAACGTAGTAGAGGTATTGTGGATGGGTGGGGGAGAGGGAAAAAATCTGGGTGGGGGTAGGGGTGTGGGACGAAAAATGGTGCTGGATAGAGAGGGTTGTTGGATGGAGACAGAGTGTAGTAGGGGGGATGAGGCTTGTGGTACGTGAGGGAAAGAGAGAGGCGTGGTAGTTTGAGAAAAATTAGGGGGAATGTGTGTGATACCTGAAGAGGAAGGCGTTGAGATGGAAGGAGGGTTCCGCTGCTGTTGCTCTTTTTGAGCAATCAGTTTTTGCAGCAGCGCCATCATGGTGTCATAACGTGAATCGGAGATCTGTTTTTCAGTGTCCATTCGCGTGTGCAGCATCTCCATATCTGCAGAACTTTTGTCGAATCGTTCATCGATCTGCTGCTGAGTTCAATTTAATGCCAAATCAAGGTGAGTATGAGCTGTTTGGACAGCTTCATCAATAATGTCTTTAGGGTTTGGTGGTTTGGGTTGGGGGGCCATGAATCCAAAAGATGAAAGCACCAATTTGATAAGAAGGTCTTTAGCAATATATTTTCTAAGATCTAGGGTTACTAATTTGAGAGTGAATGGAGAAGATAAAAAAAGTAAAATAACAATTTTCTCATTTCCTATCCTTTGTTGTGGCCAAAGTGGTCTTTTAAATACAAAGGAGACTGAATGTTCTAATGAGTCCAATGGGCCTAGCCCATGAATAGAGACAACATTTAAATTAAACATGTAACTAACATAATTAATTATAGAAATCTTTCATCCACTTGGGCTGGTTCCTGTTTCTAATGGGCCTCCTATCAGATCATCATTGGGTAACCACAACAGTAGCACTTTAGTAAAAAAGGGAGCAACAGTTATATGTATTACCTTCAGATGAAACAAGGAATTTTTCCCACAACGGACTTAAATTTGTCCCCACAAAAGTCCTGGAGCATATTTAACCAATAGTTATTAATTATAAAATTGAGCGAATGTAGAACATATATGCAAAAAAGACAAGGGAAAAATAGCAATAAGATTAAACTATTACTTCAAGACAGCATACAAAAGATCTTCTGTTGGTTTCAAGCAAACACTAGAGATAACAATATGGCATAGTTGACATTTAGCCGCAAATAACTTCTAGAATTGGTCTGTTAACGCTTTTACTAATAATATTGTCAAATGTCATGTTTTAAAAGTACAAAATGTTTCGAACAAACTTATGGCTTCAATTCTTATTTATTAATCTATCATTATCAACGATGAACACACATTAGAAGCCATGAACACGAATGTTGAAATGGATTGAGATCTAGATTAAGATTGCGAAAGCATCCACACAAACATTAAAACTATAGTTTATCATTCAAGATTCGAGAATCATCATAATCCTATCATTATCAATATCACTAACCATGATAAATAAAAATGAAAGAACTCCAAGATGGGCACTGAGAAGCAACCTATAATCCGTCAAACCTAGGTTGAGGCATACATGTGGTTCATTGTCGGATTCACCTCCAGTGCGCAAAACATGCCTTGCATACTGTGATATTTCATCCAAAAAGATACACACTATTAGGGATAGTGTTTAACAAGTATTTTAGTCAGAGCATCAAACTTTTTAATCTTAACAAATAATGCATCCATGACAAGATTTCACGAAAACAGCCACGACAAAATAGTATCTAAAGGTGCCGATACAGATACTATTATTCACTGTTTTATAATGAAAAAGAAATTGCGGTTAATTCACACTGCGACGATCACAAAAAAATCGTATTGCAATACCTATACCGAAATCGCAAAAGATTTTCGTGACAGTTATTTAAAGCCTGAAAAAACAATTTTTCCTTTTAAGTATCATCGCATGTAAGAAAAACTCATACCCTAAATTTATTTCCATTGAACAGAGATTTGTTCTGTACAGTCCTCTGCTCCCAAATCTGTGCAACAGAAATAAACAGAAAGTAATCGCAAATACAAGTAACTAAAGAATACAGAAATGGATCACAGTGCGAAAGGAATGTGATGAACCTCAGAGATGGTGTTTTCCAAGGTTAGGTCAGAGTGAGGGATTCGATCGTAGGTGTCACCGAATTCAACAGAAACCTTCAAAAGCGAGCGATGAATTTAGTAGATTATTATGGGGAAAGCTAGTGTTAAGAAGTTCGAAGATGAGTGGACCTGTGATCGAGAGAGACCGGAAGGAAATGAAACGAGAAGCTTGAAGGAAGAAGGTTCTGTGTTACTTGAATCACTAGATTTCTTCTCTTTCTCCATGGCTAGGTTGATGAGAGAGTTCGAGTTAGATGCTTCTTTGTTTGAATCTTCATACAAAGCTAGTTATGGGCTCTCGTTTGGGAACTTATTGGGCTTCTTTTATGCTTAAGTCCACAAAAATAAGAGGGCAACTCGAAAGGGGGTGGTGCTCTTTCCACCCTTCTTAAGTATGCATCCTACATCTTCAAAAATTTGAAAGTGTTTTTTTAACTATTCTCTTATGCATCTTCAGACGTATTCGAAATCATATTAAAAATTGTTATTTAGAGATCCATCCCATTTTAAACAAAATATAGCCTAAAGATATATTTTTATACATTTATTTAGGTATATTCGAAAATACATCTCCAAAATATCATTTGAGTAATTTTAAGACAGAACCCTTATTTCAATATTGTATTGTTTTTAAGCAAAATTATTATAGTTTTTTTTAAGTAAAGTTATTTAAAATAAACTCAAATAATATTAAATTCAAATGAAAATAGTTAAACATTAATTAAAAGTCAAGATTATATATAATATTTGTCCGAAAATATAAAATAAAATAAAAAAAATTAAACATAACCTATTGGGTATGTCTAACCCTCACGCGCTCTCTTCCGCTTGTACTGTACGGAATTCCATAACTCAACAATCATGTTCTCCGTAAGAGCCAACTGGGGCTACCATCCTTAAAGAGTCATGTGTCGCAACTGCAAAAAAATAACCGGCAGAAAAAAAAGAGTCAGCACCGAACGTTATTTATCTCGGCGGGGGAAAGGAAACGATCGAAGAAACCTCAAAAGGGAAAAGAACATGGTCTTACAATCAAAACCTGAGTTCGGGAGTCGATTACGCGAGAAAAAGGTATTAGCACCCCCTGGCGTTCGTTGTACTCAACATGATCCACTCTTGTTGTTCTAATCAAAGAGTGTGTTTATCTAAAGCCTATCTCCTAACAGAAACGAAAAGGGGAAAAAAGGAGACTCTATAGGACTTCACAGTCCTAGACCTACGTATTCCCTCGTGCAATGGGAAAGTCAGAGTCAAAGTAGTTCAAAGGACTACCGGTGAAAAGGGGGAAAGGTTGCTCGCCAAGACTTCGCCGCCTTGTGCCTAGTATCCTCATTCGAACGAGAATGAAGAAATCAAAGTGTTCATAGTTTGGTCAACCACGGGTGGCTACTTGTCTTTTATGAGCGATGCTAAGTTCGCATTCTAGCAGTTAGGGTCGAGGCCTGTTTGTGGTAGAACGGAAGTAGCATGCCCTTTCTGAAAAGGTTTGAAGGAAAATCCCTAAGGACAAAATGATTTGAAGTTTGTTTAAGAGTTTTAAAGAAATTAATTGACTTTGTATGAGATGTGCATCATGCTAAAGTCTATGGCATGAGATCGAATACTTTGCGCTAACGATCCAAGCGTCTTGCACACAAATTACCCTGAGATGAGGTTAGAAATGCATTCGCTCGTCTTTTCCCATGTGCTTAAGGCTCGTGACACACTATGCACATCGTCTTTATTAAGTGTTTTATTTTATTTGAGAGAGAAGAAAAAGACTTAAAGGGCAAAGAAAAATCTAAGAGAATTCACGCCTAGATGTTATCATGACAAATGGTTATATAGTCGAGGATGAGAAAGGGAAGTCTACCTAATGTTATCATGCAAGAGATGGACCTAAAATTGAGGTTGAAAGGGAGTTATCCTAATATTGTCATGTAAAGGATTGAGAGTCTAATGTATATCCTACTTCAAGCTTAATCAGAAATTAAGTTGGACTAGGAGCCTTAAGGGAGCATATGAGCAAAGTACAAGTAAACATTACATAACTCAATCACAAACAACATCAAGTACAAAACAAAGCCCAAGTAAGGATAAAAAGATAAGCTTCAAAGATGACAGATTATGTTATGGGAGGCCGGTCAATAACAATGTTTGTGCTAAAACACGATAGAGAAATGATATGTAGATCATTCTCAAAAAATTGTGCCACACGAAAAGAAAAGAGAACGGACTCGTCTTAATCATAAACTTTCATCGATTAATCGAAGGTAACCTATCACGATACCAAAGTATAAAAAATGATCCAAAGGATCACTCCCTACAGATTTGAAATAATGAAAGTTAAACAAACCCAACAATCGACATTCATGATTTTAAAGACATCATCGACCAATAATCAAAATAAAATCGAAAATAAAATTGAAATGAGAAAAATAAGGAAGAAAATAAAATCTAAGCATAAAGTAACATATAAGATCAAGAGACTTAATGCTACAAATCAAAACTTATTTTAAAATTTTGGGGAAAATAAAAAAAAAATATAAATATAGAAAAAATGAAAAGACAAGAAAATAGAGAGGATAGTGCGAGCACGCAGGGTGCATGTAGAATCAACACGGGCCATAAAGCCCAAAAGTACCATCACGGTCCATAACAGGGGTCCAGCATTGTATAAATCATATTAAAAAAAGGGAAATAAAAACTCAGATCATAAACAAAGTAACGACATAGGCTAGGTAAAAAAAAAATCAAAGATCAGTTTTAAAAAAAAAAATTAAACGAGCAAGATCAAAGGAGGAAAACTTCACAACACACAACAATATGAAACGAGTTCTCAGCGAAAAACAAAACGGCACATGACACCTTCTCGTTCTTGATCTCTTATCTCTGTCTTCTAACTTTGGTTCGTTTCTCTATCTCTCTCTCTGATTCAAGTTCGTTGTTGATTTTTTTCTCGCTCAATCCTCTTCTCTTTTGTCTCAGATTCTCTTTGTTCTAGGTTGTGATTTGAGGTGTTGTTGTTTATGGCCCGTGGGTTGTAATAATGAAGGTTTGGAAATTTTGAATTTGGGTTTAATAATGTTAGGTTTGTATTGAAGGTTCAGTGGAGATTGGGGATATTTGATTTGGTTTGAAAGGGTAAAGTTTAAAGGATGAATATGGTAGAGTATTCGATGGTTTTGGTTGTCGCACGTTTTCACGGTGGTTAATGGTGGTTTAAAAGTGGTTGTTGTTCAATTGTTGTGTTTGTGCGATGGTCGGAGTTGGTTTTGGTGAGGGAGTTTCAGTGGTGGCTTAAGGTGCGAGTTGTGGGTTATGGTGGAGAAGCATATGGCTTTGGTGTATTTTATGCTTGTAAGGTGAGGGAAGGCCGCAAGTTGTTTTTGTTGTCACGGTTTGATGTTTACCAGAGCAAAATAGAGGGGTTTTGTGTGTTGTTTTATATGGTGATTATGGTGTAATGTTGTACGTTTGGAGTGTGTAAGGGTGGCTGGTGCAGTGTAATCTCGTACGTTTTGCTACATGCTAGTATATGCGTGTGACCTGGCTTGCTTTTCTTCATCAAATTTTTTTTTTGTTTGCCATTTTGTTTGTGACATGGGCTTGTTGGCAATGTTGTATGTCTCTTATTTGTAACAAAATAAATATCATGGCCTGGATTGTTTTTGAAAGTTTGTAACATGGGCCTTTGGAAAGAGTTATGAAATGTATTTGAATTCAAAACTTGAATGGAAATTGTGAATTGAACTTGCATCTTTTTGAACTTCGACTAAACCATGAATCAATTCCAACAATGAACCACTTGAAACAATTTTGAAAAAGTGACGCTCCTAACTTGATCCAACCAATTATCCTCGAAACCACATTTCAGTATCTTGAACTCTTCATTAAAATTGTATCAGAAATGCCCTAAAACCTTGAAACAAATCCATGAGACATAACATCACATCCCGGTTCCATCTTAAAATGGTATTGAATTGAATAAAAAGCTTGAATTCTCCTTCGTCGGGTAACTTGACCTTGCACAGAAAACCCTAATCCTGATCACTTGATGATTTTCAGAAATAAATCACTTGAATCTGACGTTTTATTACCCTGACAATGATCCATAACATAGGTGACTTGAGATATTAACGGTGATGTCACTGCACTAAAACCCTGATTAAAATGAACTGAATAATGGTGATTTGTCAACCATGAACCACTGATGAATTTGAATCAGCCTAACCACTTGATAAAGAAGCAAACCATTTGTCTGACCAATATTAGCTTAAACTTCCACTGGATTTCAACCAACACTGTACACACCCTTGACCTAATAACTTTTCCTGAAACTTGATTCGATCTTGTAAGGTCTGAGCTTAGACAACAAAAGGGTGCTTACTTGTATGCACAATGGTCATATGAACATAAATTTTCCATACTTAGAAAAATTCCAAAAACCCTAATTTAACAACTTCTCCTGATTTTATGATTTCTCTTGATCAAACCTCATAATAACATGGATGATGACTTGAAATGCCCAAAAATGACCCAAGAACTCAAGAGTTGACTTTTGTAGGGCATCAGTTGACTTCTTTATCAGATAAAACCAATTCTTCCTCTATGCACTTAGGGAACCTTCTGAAGTGACTTATGATAAACCATAAGACATGTATGGAACCCCTGAGATGTACTTTGAACCATAGAACCATGATGAGCTCCAAAAACTAATCACAAGTGGCCTTTGCGTAAAACCTTAACTCAGAGCCACTAAGAGCTTGATCAGATGAATCCATTGAAACCAATGGAACCCTAATCCTTAGATGATTGGGTGAGCTTGTTGAAATACCTTGATGAGTGTGAAATCCTTGTAGCTTGAGAATACCATGATATTGTAGACATCTCTTTGCTCATTCCCTTGAGAATCAACTCTTTTTCTTGAAGGAAACAAAGAAACCCTGATCCTATGTCTAGAACCAATATAATGTATGAGATGAATATGATCTAAAGAAAGAAACATAAGCCAAATAAAGTAAAGAAAATTATGGAAATTTTGGGGTACAAAATCATGCATTTATGCATGCTCTACCCATCTCCACAAAACGCAGACAAACCTCTGTCACATCCTTAGTGTAGTCATCCTAAGCCTTGAGTACCTTCTGGTCAGCTAACCTAGGTGGTCTTCCAAGAGCATCTAATGTCATTATAGGGTGTGACACCTTATAAAACCATGTCATGTATCACTTAACATAAGCTCC